GAGGGTGGGGGAGGGGAGGGTAAAGGGGAAAGAGCAACCAAAGGACTTACATGCAGGCATAGAGGCCTAACCAATGGACACGGACAACGGGGGGGTGGGGGGGGGGGTGGAGGGTGATGTGGGGACAGGGACACATATGTAATATCTTAATCAATAAAAAATATATTAAAAAAAAATAAGTTATACTATAGTTATATTTCAACTTAGCTTTGAAATGAAGCATTGAATATAATCACAAATTTAGTCTACATTTTACATATGCTTTTGCATATATAAATACACAAATGTTTTTATAAATACTTTATCATTTCTCATTCCAGCATATTATTTAACAATGTGTATAACTATTTTTGTACCTTTACATTTTCACTAGATTTTAAAAAATCATTACTGATGTTCTGTGAATAAATCTCCTCCTACATTCAGGTTTTGTATATCATTTCTTGGAGATAAATTTCCAACAGTGTACTTAACACTTTCAAAAGTAAATATTTCAACAGTAATTAAAACAGTACTATAAATGTACAAAAGGAGAAATTTAAAACTATATAAAAGTTTTGTTGGTTCCTTTATAATTCATATTTATTTTTAAAAACTTTTTTTTTTGCTTTATTTCAGACCAGTCTGTCCATATGGGGATGGGGAAGCCTTGGCGTTGTCCTTTCTCTAATAACCTTTGGACCCTTTGTAATATTTTATTTGGCATTTTATATCCTCTGCTTTGTGGGTGGGTAAGTATAATCAGTCATAATTTTGCAATCCATATGTTCTGTTTTTCAAAATTGAAAAAAATAACCAAGAGAAATGGAAGTATGGTTTATTATGAATGCTATTTTTACAAATTGTTTTTACCAAAGTTTAAAAATAAAATTGACACACTTATAGAAATAAAATGATAATGGTCATTATTTGTGCCAGAAATATGGTTAGTCAGCTTCAAAAATAAAATAGTTGATATAAACTTCTTTGTGATAAAGGAAAATTTTTACGATTTTTAAAAATTCCTTTTGGTTTTATTACTCCTTTAAGGTTGAAATTACTTTATTATAACAGTAACAAGATAAGTAAGTTATATGGATAACACATCAAGTTTTATATGGAGATATTGTGTTATTGATTAGACTTCTAACAATTTTAATTGTTTTTCTTTTGTTAAGAAAATTCAAACACCTGAATTTGCAGTTTTTTTCTTCATGGTTATTTGGTTTGCAGTTTATACTTTTTACCTTGCCTTGATAAACCTTTACAAGAGAGGTTTCAGTCATGATTTTGTATAGCTTCCCATGCAGAACATTTGATATCAGACATGTAAGAGAGTGTATAGATGAGAGATTCTTGTTTTAGGTATTCTAATCAGCTTAGCTGAAATGTGCATTTTGTTGTTAACACATATGTATACATATATATACACACACATATATATATAGATGATACATTTCTGTAATTATTTGTGAAATAAATACCTATGAGTTCTTTTAAAATATATTTTGAGAATCCCCAAATTTGGAGGAGTTATTATAGGTTTAACAGACTTAACTGAATTGAATAGCATATATAAACCGTGGCCTGAAAGAATGTATAAGACACTAAAGAGGTGGCTTCTGAATATATCAACTACCTATTACCTCTTTCAGGATATGGGTTTGAAAGTAATGCATAGCCATTTTTATAGGGAGTGCACCATTGACTGTTGAACAAGTGAGAATTAAAGTACTATTCATAAAATTAATTTTTATTTTTGTTTTAGTATTTTTATTAGAATTCCTTAGATACTATAACTGTGTATTGAACAATTAAGAAATAAGTGATAGGAATCAGATAAATGGAGTACTGAATATCTTTACTGATTATAAAGATGATTGAAGACTGTAGATCTGTAGCCATTTGGCTTCTAAATTACATTCCTTAATCGTAAGCTAAGGCCAGAGCTGCATGGTTGCACCTTTCCCATGTAGGGTTATAACTGCTTTTACTTATTGGAAAGGAGATTGTCTTGAGGTATTTCTTTGAAAGAAGAGATTTCTTCTATTTCACTAATTGAATAAGCGCTTGGCAAAAGTGAAGGAGAAGGATTTTCCAATACTTCAGAGAAGAAGGAAATTTTAGGTTTATAGAGGAAGGTAGGATTCCTAGGAATCCTTGGAAGATGGAGAGGTGGAGAATTACTTCTTTTTGACTAAACTATTTTATATAAAATTTGGGAAAGAGAAAAGGGTGATGAGTGCATTCATTTCAAAGTCACGGGAGCCTCTGCTGTTTCCTCTTTGCATCTGCTAAATTTTTAAGGAATAATTTTCAAAGACATTTTTGGATACTTGTAAAGTATGTAAACATCCTATATAATAAAAGCCTAATATGCAAATTGACCAAATGGCAGAACGACTGGTCACTATGATGTACACTTACCACCAGGGGGCAGACGCTCAACACAGGAGCTGCCTTCAGCCCGCAGGACCCAGGCCAGCCAAGGCGGGTGCCAGCAGGGGCCTCCCCCTCAATCACCCTGCCAGTCGCCTTGCAGAGGGAGGCAACTGGTGGCAGTGGTGGGGGGGCAGGGCTGGCAAGCAGGTGGCGCCAGGTTGGCCATGGTGGGTGCCAGCAGGGGCCCCCCAATCGCCCTGCCGGTCGCCCCACAGATCGGCCCTGATCACTGGACAGGCCTAGGGACCCTACCAGTGCATGAATTTTGTGCACTGGGCCGTTAGTTTTTAGATGGGACATTGGAAAGTGTGGGAGAGCCACTAAAAACTCTTTAGATAATATTAAGTCACATGGTAGGGTGTGAAATTTCAAGTTCATGCTGTTACATAAATTGATGTTCTGTTCCAGATCCCAGTGAAACTCACTGCCACAACAGGGGACTTCTACTTACATATTAGCAATCTTCTCAAAAGGAGATTAGTTAACTATGCACTTGTAGGTTATTCAGTTATGGGCAGTGGGTACCATAATTTCTGAAGGAAGTCTTTCTTATTTTGGCGGTAGTTATGAAGAATATTGTCCCTTCTTTAACTTAGTATAGTTTAATGGCTGTGAATTTTAAAAGCAAAAATATGCTTTCAAATAACAATCTCAACTAAAAACATTTCATATAATTAAAATTCTTAATTTTAGTAGGTTTATTGTGTAAGCTTTTAAAAATACGTTTTTGTTCTTTTTTTACTTACAATGCAAACTTGAGAGGAATTAATACATTTTTCTGTGAAAACCACTTTTTTATTTTTTGCTAATAACACGTTTTTAAGTTTTGCAGTTTATTTATAATGTTGAAAATGTATATATTTTGCATATAGTTAAAGCTAATCCCTTATTTTCTAGTTATAAGAATCCTTTGGAAAGAAAAGCACTAATGAGTTTGTTTTGTTTTTGATTGTTACTTTGGCATACCATTTATACTATATTATAGGTTATTTAATGGCATTCTATTATGTTTGTTTGGTTGTGCAATCATTTGTTCTACCTGTTTTTACTTAACCTCAGTGCTAAAGCTATTAGGTTCTTTGTAAGGTCAGACTTTTCCTTAGCCTACTTCCCTAATTTCATACTCTGGGCAAAGGTTTATATTTCATTAGTCTGTTCCAAGATGATGTTTTTAGAAGTACATTGTTTACTTTATATAGTGTCTGTAACTGTCCTTATAACCAGGTAAAACTGAAATACAGAGCCAACGTGACGCTTAATATTAACATCAGATACAACACAGATAAAATTTACTGGTAATTCTGAGACCAGCCTTTTAAAATGAAACAAAAACAGAATTGATGACATAAGCTGATGTTATTTTATTTGTGTTTTCCACTTTCCCCCCCTGCTTTTGTGATGCCAGTACTGAAGCGCAGTGAAGTGGCAGGTAGCCACAAAAAGCAGAGAACCTTGAGAATCTTCAGTAGTTGAAGCTGCCTATATATGATTTTTCACTGTTCCCTTCTTGTCCCTACAATCTTTGAATCACTGTAAGATTATTGTATGATTATTACAAAATTAAAATTTAGTTTTCTCCCTGATGGAATTTCTCTCTACTTAGTAGTGCTTAGAGATAATTGGTAAATTTTAAATATAGAAAATATTGATAGCATTTAGTCAATACTTGAGTTTAACTTGAGTTTAATTTTCCTTTATTAATTCCAGGCTTATTTAAATAAATAATAAATTGGGTCACTATTTTACATGTAGCCTTTGTTGTGTTTTAGTCATAGTGACAAGTTATTAAATCTCATGTAAATTAGCAATACAACAAGGTGTTTTAACTATAGATTTAGATCTCATTTGTTTCTGTCTTTGGTTATTAGCTAGCCTACTTATTTAATGAGGGCTGATTTTCCTACAGTTTGAAAATGTTACCTGAGATTTTTTATTTTTTTATTCTGGATGAAAACTTAGAATGGCATTATTGTGTAAATTTACAAATGTTGATAGTTATTTTAAATTTCAGAGCATAGCAAAATCTGTCAATTCCCTGCCTTGTCAAAGTCACAAACTGATATTTTAGTGAATGATAAGCCACCTATTAAATCTGAAAAAATATTTGGTAGTAGATGTGTTAGATTATAGTAGAATTTCGTTTTCATATGTATAATTAAATTTTTTTCAGGGGTTTTGTGGTTACTCTTCTGTTTGGAAAAACAAACTCAGAGAAGTACCTAGAGCAGTGTGAACACTCATTTCTTCCTCCAACATCAACTGGAATTCCTAAGGTAAATAGTGTAAAGGAATGTGAAACCTCAGTCCTCTTCTACATAATGATAACTACAAATGTGATCATCCATTTATGGCTTAGCGGATTTTTCTATAATTCATTCATATTCATTATAAATTTATGGGAGACTTTCTGATTGTGCCTAGAAAAATGCATTTTAACAAGTTACCTTTTAAACTTTGTCAGATGTTAAAAGTGCGAATACAAATTTGGGGAAAAACAGAAAATTGGAATGTTTCCTTCTACCCTTAAACTAGACTTTAAAAGTATCACATATATGATTTGTGTCAATGAATATAATGTTTTGAATGAAGTAAATAACAAAGGAACCAGAGGGAGAAAAGGTATACTTTTTATTTAACTCACTTGAAGACTATAGCTTGCAATTAGGCTATGCATTATTTATAATTTTAATAAGTTAGGGTCAATTTTATATCATCTTCAATGTTCTTTTTTACATTTTTCAATCCTATATAATAAAAGCCTAATATGCTAAGTGTCTAGTCATTCAGTTGTCCGTTCAACCAATCAAAGCATAATATGCTAATGATATGCTAGGGTCGCTCAGCCACTCGCTATGATGTGCACTGACCACCAGGGGGCAGTTGACCAGTCGCTATGATGTGCACTGACCACCAGGGGGCAGACGCTCTGACCAGTAGGTTAGCTTGTTGCTGGGGTCCGGCTGATTGGAACTAAGCAAGACAGGCCGGACACGCTCTGGAGCCCTCCTGCAGTCCCTCCCCGGCTGGCCAACCTCCTGCGTCCCTCCCTGGCCCCGATTGTGCACTGGTGGGGTCCCTCGGCCTGGCCTGTGCCCTCTTGCAATCTGGGATGCCTTGGGGGATGTCAGAGAGCCAGTTTCGGCCCAATACCTCAGGCCGGGCCAAGGGACCCCACTGGTGCACAAATTTGTGCACTAGGCCTCTACTGTCATATAAATAAAATTGGAATTGAGTAAGATAGATAGGCTTCAGTTTTGCATTGTCTCAATTTTTATTGTAGGATGGGGATGGTTTCACCTTTTATAAAGAGAGACAATTGGTCTGGAGCTGCTGCTAGGAATTTAACTTTACAATTATTATTTTGTTCAATTTGTGCTAAGATGTAGGAGATGCAGAGAAAGTAATATAGTATTATTTTACATTACTGAAATAACCCTATCCCACTGATTTTCATATTAATAATTTTTTCTAATACTGTAACTTTTAAAATAATCTGAAACTTTTTTGTCCTCCTTTATGACTCCTATTAATGTGTTCTTTGAGTTTGCTCATAAATCTTTCTGAAGAAATGAACCTTTTCTTTTTTTGAATCAATTCTCAGCCATTCGTAGTTCCCATTCCTTTGAGTGATAAATAGAAGATGGGAATATTTTATAATTAAGATCCCAGCCTTGGCCCCTATGGTTGGGCATCATTCCAAGCACTGAAAGGTTGATTCAATCCCCTGTCAGGTCACATGCCAAGGTTGCAGGCTCCATTACCTCTGGGGGGGTGTGCTGGAGGCAGCCAATTTATATTTCCTTCTCACATTGATGTTTCTCTCCCTCCCTTTACCTTCATCTCTCTAAAAATCAATTAAAAAGTAAGTTCCTGAACAGCAATATATCATAGTCAAGACTGGTATTCATAATATATTTTAGTAGATGGTCTAAAACATAGTGATTTTGATTTGCTTTTTCTAAAATGCTTTATAAGCATGTCTTATGAAAAATTCTTAGAGGTTTTATAAACATGAACCATATGTTTTATATGTATAAATATATACATCTATATCCTATCTAATAAAAGAGAAACTGGTAATTGGCGTATGACCGCTGCCCTTCCCATTGGCTAATCAGGGTGATATGCAAATTAACTGCCAGCCAAGATGGCTGCCGGCAGCCAGGCAGCTTGAAACTAACATGAGGCTTGCTGGCTTCAGTGACGGAGGACTCCAACGTTCCCCGCCTGCCACTGCAGGCCTCTGAACTGCAACTCTAAGCAACTATGGA